TGGGGTGGGGCATGTGGGCCTTGCAGGGGGGGTGGTAGCTCCTGTGGGGGCCATTTGGCTCTTGTTGGGAGGCTGTAACCCCTGTGTGGCCATAGCCTCCCAACAGCCAGTGCTTTAACACGGTAGATATATCAATAAAACATTGCCCAAGTGATTGCTGTCTCTCTGTCTCATTCTCTTTTTTTTTTATAGTGGTCTTTTGTTTTAATTGTGGAGCTACATGGATTTTAGGGTATTTTACAGAGTGACTTTGGGATTTTTTTTATCAGGGATTTTTCAGTTTTCCAGTAGGAAACACCAGAAATCTTGCTAGGGAGGAAGCCAGTTGCAGGACCCTGCCTGCTCAGAGCTGGCACTTTGGACCCAGCTGGCTGTGGCTGACAGAGTCCAAACCAGAGAAAGACATGGATTAGAGCACAGACTTGAGTGACACAGCACAGAGACTAATGTGATACTTCACAGATCTGCAACACTGCGAAGAGCACTGCAAAGATGAAAAGTTGTTAGTTTATTAAAATTTAAATTATTGTGTGCATTTATATATATTGGTTGAAATAAAGCCGTGTTTTCTGTTTAGAAAGGGGAGATGATTATAAAACTTTGAGAGAGGTAGAGTTAGAGATAGAGCTGGAGAGAGAGTCTGATGGCTGCGTTTGTGTGTGCTGTTAGCATGAATAAAGAAACCTCTTTGTATAAGTATCTCTTGCCTCAGTAAACTTAATCCACAGCACAACAGGTGGTAGGGAATCAGGGGAAAGGGAGCCTGGGAAGGTCAGGCAGGAATAAAGGGGGGAAGAGGAAGGGGATGTGGGGAGAAGGGAGCAGGTGGGTGGGTACCTTAGCAATAGGTTTTTGCATAAAATGCAGTAACCCTATTCACTGTCTCATATAACAAAGTAGGGGGTTATCATGGAAGTTATTGATTTGTGTTATAAGTAACAACAGAAAACAAAAGTTTACCTGGTGATAACTGTTATAATCCATGTTCCCTGGGAGAGGAAATCCTGGAGCTAGAAGCAGTTCTCCCTCCAGCATCTCTGGCTTAATAAATTCTTCCAAGTAGGTTTTGCAAAGTCGTCTGTCCCAATCATCTGTAATATGCCCGCCATACATAATCTCACCAAAAAGATAGCGCAAATCATCATAGGGAACCTAAACAGTGAACCAAGAAGCGCATGAAAGAATCTTAAAAGATGATGACCCATTGACAACATCATCATGCTGCACACTATGAACCAAAAGCACCAGTCTTCAGAATGAATGTTTTCATTTCCCTTGTTCATTTTTCTAACTAACTGAACATTATCTAGCAGATAAATCACTACATGCAGGAAGGCAGACAACCCAGAGAAAGCCAGACTACAGAGCAGACTTTGTAGGGATTTACACTGCAAAGCAAATCTTACTGAAGTTTCCTACATTAAACATATCTGTCTAGGCAGTCAACCATCTCTAAGTATTTTCATTAAAATGGTAGCAAAGACACTCCCATATATCAGAGATGATATTTTATATAAATGCAGTCTGCAAACTGCAGTAGATGCAAATGGAGCGGAGGTCTCTTTGTATTATTCTGATGATACACAAAGTTACGAAGTAAAAATATCTGAAAATGGCTAGGTATCATTATTTTAGGATAGAGATTTCAGAAGTTTCAGTACATGGGCACAAGGGCTAAACTCCCCATATGCAGGTGCTTTATTTGTTTCACACACCTTTGAATTGGCCTCCAGGTAATTATAGAGGACATTGACTGAAATAATCAGATCTCCAGTGTTAAAGGGATAGGAGCGGTTCCAGCCCTGGGGTCCAAACTTGCGTCTTTCTGCCACAACAGCATGAAAATAACAGAGGGCAAATAGGATGCTTTTGAATTCATTCTCTCGGGCACACATCTCCAGGGTATCCTAAAAGGGAATCAAAACATCAATGTTGTGCATTTCTACAGTGTTCTTCACCCCATAGGTTCCCATGGCATTATTCTTTTAATTTTGCTTAAGTTTCTATCCCATCTAATGATGAATTATCTTCCTGTCATGGTGAATGGTGTGCCAGACTTGTTCAGTCCCTCCTGAGTTCATCCTGTAGATGACAGGTCCTTATGCTGGACAGAACCATGTGGGACTGGGTCTCTGAGTGTCAGCCCTCATTTTTCAAATGTGCTAATGCAACACCACCCAAGTCAATTTGGCACTTGTAAGGTTTTTCATTCATGGACCTGTGATTAGCAAGGCAGCTGAAGTGACTCAAAGCAAAGCACTGTTTATTTATTTACCAAAGGTACAAAGCATGCAGGTCAAAGAATGACAAATATAAAAGGTATTTGTGAATATTTCTCTTTATCTAAATCTTAAATCTGTTTTTGTAAATTGATCTGGCCAGCCACTGGTTACTCACTCCACTGCACCCCTTCTTTTCTAAATCCAAAGTCCTTTAAAATTTAGTAAATTTCTTTTGATCTTGGCTGTCTTGCTTGAGCCAAGTACAGACTGATTCTCCTATAAATAACTTCCCCATTTTTTTAATCATGGACTCTTATCAGTTTCATTATGTTTTTTCTTTCCTGCCTAGTTCTTTTAATAATCCAGTTTGATCTAAGTAACCCCACAGAAGTGTGAATCTTATTCATAAAAATAATGAAAATGTTTCTCATTTCATCATATCTTCCAACTGTACAACTAGTTTAGAGATATGTGCTGAAAGCTGCAGACCTGTGAAATGCCATAGACATGGCCTTAGTTTGAATGACTCAGCCATGCCCTTGGCTGTAGGGAAGACCATACCTCCCAGGGTATAGGGGAGGTACACAAACTAGATGGCAGGGAACAAATTCAGGCTAATTTGGACAGGCTGGGGAAATGGGCCAAACAGAATAGGATGCAGTTTAACAAGGATAAGTGTCATGTGTTGCATCTGGGGATGAAGAATCATCAACACTCCTACAGTCTGGGAGGTACCACTCTAAGTAGCAAAAGTGCGGAAAGGGATTTCAGAGTTGTAGTCAACTCCAAAATGAACAAGAGTCACCAGTATGATGTGGTAATATGTAAGGCTAAATGCACCCTTTCTTGCATAAATGCATCACAAACAGGTCTAGGGAGGTGATACTTCCCCTCTATCCAGCATTAGTTAGGCCACAGCTGGAGTACTGCATCAAGTTTTGGGCGCCACACTTTGGGAGGGATGTGGATGGCCTGAAGGGTTTAGAGGAGGGCCACTCATCTGGTTAAAGGCCTACAGAAAATACCCTATGTCGACCAATTGGGAGACCTGAACCTCTTCAGGAGGCTGAGAGGTGATCTTGTGGCCACCTACAAACTCATTGGGGGGGAGGGGGCAGCAAGAAATAGGGCATACAATATTTACCAGGGTGCCTGTCAGGGTAACTAGAACTAATGGCCACAAATTGGAAGGGAGCAAATTCAGACTGGACATCAGGAAAAAATTCTTTACAGTGACGGTTGCCAAAATGTGGAATAAGCTTCCAAGGGAGGTGGTGCTGTTCCCTTCCTTGGAGGTGTTTAAAAGGAGACTGGACAGACACTTCGCTGGGGTCATCTGACCCCAGCACTCATTTCTGCCCAGGGCAGGGGGTCAGACTCGATGATCTAATAGGTTCCTTCTGACCCTAACATCTATGAAACTATACAGTATTGTTCCTATGCAAACACATGCTTCACAGCTGTGAAGCTGGCTGGGATAATCTAGTTGCGGATGGTCCTGCTTTGAGCAGGGGATTGGATTAGATGACCTCCTGAGGTCCTTTCCAACCCTAATTTTCAATGATTCTATGAAGTTATTTAAAGGCTGCCACTGTAGCCCAAGGGTGGGCAAATACAGCCCACAGGCTGAATCCAGCTCACCAACAGATTTGATCTAGCCCATGGGTAGACAGCCGCTAGTTAACTGGATCTGGTCCATTGGTGGCTGGTGACTCTGGCCACTGTATGGTGCAAGGTCAGCAGGCAGGTGGGTGGCACTGCTTCTGCCCAGCAGCACCAGGTACTAGCCATGGGCCCATTAGGGACTTTCACTAGCAGGTGGGCATCAGCATCATCTGTGGATGTTGCAGGCAAAATTAGGATCCCAGATACAGATTACCCACTACCCTTCTGGTGCAGAGGAAGTTCCTGCCCAGAGCCCTAACCCAGAACATGCCAGTGGCATCAGCCATAGACCTCCAGGCAGAAGCTGCTGCCACACTGGGCAGGCAGCAGCATCTCTCTCTATATCTTCTCTTCTCTCTGTCTCTTTCCCTTCTTTCCCTCCCTCCAGAACCTGGTCAAAGTTTTTATTCGCTAGGAATCCTGACACTCAGCTCCTGATCCAGACAGGATCTGGCTGCACCCAGAGCTGATGTCACTGCAAGCCCTGCACCCTCAGCCTGTTGCATATGATTAGAGTGGCACTGCCCTCCATGAAATGGAGCCAGACCAGGTTGCTCTGCACCTTACCTGTATATAAATTTTTGGAGGATTCCAAGACTCATGACAAGAACACCCAGTTGACGTCATGAGTTGGGGCTATCTGGACTACACACACATACTAAGCAGTGCAGAACTGTGGGTCACAGAATCATAGAAAATTAGGGTTGGAAGGGATCTCAGGAGGTCATCTAGTCCAATACTTTGGTCAAAGCGTGACCATCCCCAACTAGATCATCGCCGCCAAGACTTTGTCTAGCCAGGTCTTAAAAACCTCCAAGGATGGAGAGTCCACAACCTCTCTGGGTAACCTGTTCCAGTATTTTACTACCCTCCTAGTGAGAAAATTCTTCCTAATATCTAACCTAACTTCACTTGCTACAATTTGAGACTGTTGGTCCTTGTTCTGGCATCTGCCACCACAGAACAGTCTAGGCTCCATCCTCTTTTGAACCATCCTTCAGATACTTGAAGGCTATTATTAAATTCCCACTCAGTCTTCTCTTCTCAGCCTCTCCTCAGAAGTCATGTGCCCCAGACCCCAAACCATGTTTGTTGCCCTCAGCTAAATTCTCTCCAATTTGTCCAAATCCTTTCTGTAGTGGCAGGCCCAAAACTGGACACCGTACTCCAGATGTCACCTCACCAGTGCTGAATAGAGGGGAATAATCACTTCCCCATACCTGCCAGCAACACTCCTATCAATACAGCCCAATATGTTGTTAGCCTTTTTGGCAACAAGGGCACACTGCTGGCTCATAACAGGTCACCCTGGCTTGAAGTACTATTGACTCTGCTGGGGCCCAGCCCAATGAACTATATGGTAAATCATGAGAGAGGGAAGAGAGGCAGAGATATTCTGGGCAAATGGTTTGGCACCCCATTTGGTGATGTCTGTCAGATATTTAAGGATGCTGAAGAAACAGAAATAATTGGAAATGGGAAAGAAAGGTGCAACTTAGCTCTGGGAGTGAAGGGAATGTTGAAGTGTATTCAATGTAGTGGCTCACTATGACTTGAAAAGAAGTCATCACTAAGGGGGACTGCATGCAATGGGGGCTAGCATATATTTTACTTAGATGGGCCGTATTAAACTATCTTTGTGGTAGATTCCCATGAGTGGCACAGTTACTCAGATGCTTCTTGGCTAAGACCAAGTGTAGTGGCCAAGTGGAGGCCCAGCTTACTGCCTTGATCAATGCCAGGAGCATCCGGGGGATAGGGATGCAGCGCCAGGAAAGAGGTGGAGGTGGAGTTTTCATAAACCAGAAGAGCATCAGTTGCAGTTTTGGAGAGCAGAGTGGCAGTTAAGGAAAGGAAAATGGATCAAGAGATGACAAGCAAACTGGAGAGTAGAAACGAACACAGAGTCAGATGGATGCAGGTGAGGAAGAGGGGAAAAAAGGTAGGAAAGAAAGGTGTGTTGGGATTGGTGGTTTTGGAGAAGGCTTTATGCAATAAGGAAAGAATCCAGTCAGCAGTAAGAACAGGGGAAGAGAAGACGAGGAGGACAGGAGAGAAAAATTAGAAAGGAAATAGTGATCGAAGGGAAGAAGACCCATGGGAAGAATAAATTAGACCTGAAAAAAGAAAGGAAATGGGAGGAAGTGAGAGATGGAGTAGCAGGTAATCTATGCCTGAGCAGAAGTGCAGTATTAACAAGGGGAGGAGAATGGAGCAGTCAGAAGATGAATAGATATGAATTTATAGATAAAACTAGTGAATTGCCTGTCAAGAATGACGGGGGGAAGGGGTGGGCGTGGAGAAGCTTGCTAACCCTACCCCCACAATGCTACTGTCACCTCCTGGGGGGTGGGGAAGGTGGCCCCGCCATCCCCTTCATCCCTCTCTGTCAGCACCCTGCACTGCCACCGCCTCCGAGAAGCAGGGCCTCTCTCCCCTCCATTCCACCATCCACACCATGCTGTTGGTGCCTTCTGTCTGTAATGCTCTTGGAACACTGTGATTGGTTGTTTCAGTAACCAATCAGAGTGCTCCAAGAGCGTTACTGATGGACGGACAGACAGACGGGCTAAGCACTTTATTACATTAGAGTATTGTTTAAAGTTTTAGATGTTAAAGTGTAAAATTTGAATAGCTTTGTCACCTTTTCTAACCAGAAGTCTTGGGAGATTTTGTATTGGAGCTGAGAAGGTTATGAGGATTCTTGGGGGATGTATGCAGCAGTAGGTGAAAGAGAAGAAGTTAAGGGGATAATATTTACTGCAAGAGAAAATACAAGAAACAAGGCAATACTTATTCAAATATACACAGATCTGCTTGAGATGGGGGAGTTATAGAAATAGTTAGAGAATTATGCACAAAAAGTTATTTATGTTGAAAAGATGCACAATAAATATTACATATGGACAGGATTGGTGTAGGGTAGCATAGGTCCCCTACAAGACCAACTAGGGCAATAAGTGACAGATTGGGGGGTGGGAAATCTCCCAACTGGATCACAGACAGGCATAAAGGGGTAACCAGCCCACCAACTGCTAGCACAGACTTAGTGAAGAGACACTTGGAGGGGCTGGATATGTTTAAGTCAGCAGGCCTGGATGATATTCAACCAAGGGTGCTGAAGGAATTGTCTGGTGTCATAGTAGAGCCACTGGCATGGCTGTTTGAGCACTCATGGTGCTCAGGTCAGGTCCCAGAGGACTGGAAAAGGGCCAGTGTGGTCCCTATTTTCAAGATGGGGAGGAAGGAGCATCTGGGTAACTATAAACAAGTTAGTCTCACCTCTATCCTTGGAAAAAAATATTATGGATCACATTTGTGGGAGTTCAGCAGGGAAAACAATGCTAAAGGGCAATCAGCACAGATTCATAGCAGGTAGATCCTGCCTGACTAACCTTGTTTCATTTTATGACCAGGTCACAAAATGCTTAGAGGCAGGAATCCAGGTGGATGTCATCTACTTGGATTTAAAGAAGACCTTCAATTCGGTATCTCATTATATTTTCATAGATAAACTGAGCGACTGTGACATAGATGTTTACATGGTAAGGTGGGTGGCAAATTAGCTTAGGGGTTGCACCCAGAGAGTGGTGGTGGATGGGTCAGTATTTACTTGGAAAAATGTGGGCAGTGGAGACAGGTTTATGAAAAATGAATCAATGATTATGTCATCTGGGACTAACACAAAGGGGAAAGGGGGGGGGGAGCAGAAAGGTGCCGGGGAGGGAAAAAGGGAGCCTTTTTGAATACAAAAGCAATAAAAGAACTGGCAAAAATGATGGGGATGCAAAGGTGAGGAGGATTAGAGCTGACTGCATCAAGCAGCAGCATAGAACACTCATAAAAGTGGTCGAGATGTGGAATTTAACTGGACAGCCATGACTCTGTGTAT